CACTTAGCTCATAATAAACACATACCGCGCAAAATATTAAATATACCAACTTTTAGTAAATGCACATTTTTTCTTCTTTCAATCACTTTTTCCCACTCTGATTTATTTTCCGTCAGGCTGTTTTTTGTAATTCCTCAGTTTTACTGCCTCCTATTCTATCCTGCGTTATAACCGGTCGGAAAATAAGTAGAGCTTATTCTATATAGTTAAAAACTGTTTTTTTTTCCATAGTTTTCCCTTTTGTTCTGTTCATTTTTTGCAGCTTTTCCCGATTTAATCCGTCACGCTGAAGTTTTTCAATCAATAATTTGGCTTGCCTGTATGTTATTAGCCCCATTACCCTGTTTTATCATTCCTTGACAATACCAGAAAAATCTGTATTATTTCATTGAAAGCTAGCAGAAAAAAATTTTAATATATTTAATACAATTTTAATTCTTATCGTTAACCTAACCGCGGGATATAACTTTTCTGTCCAGTTCTGAATTATTCAACCCAATCCGCTATTTGAGAATAAAAAAAATTGCCTAAGGAGGAACCATTCAAACCATCTATACTTTTGTACCATTCAAAAAGCCTACTATATTCATACAAACGCCGCTGAGTTTTTATCAGAAAAACCGTTTAGTTTTCTCATAATCTTCTAACCCTTGTAAACTAAATACCTATAAACAATGAAACCTTTGCGAGCGTGTTTGAACGTCATCTGCCAAAAAATTGAGACGAAAATTATTCACGTCCCAGACAAGGAAGTAATTCGTAAGTTACCCAACTTTTAATCGTAAAAAACTTCGTCCGGGGGCTTTGAGATTAGACGTTTTTCATCTGAGCAAAACGATCCAAAAACCAATAATCGATGTTCCTAAAAGTTATAGACGTACAATGAACCGAATTTCGCCTAAATAATTGTTCTGATTCCCAAAATTGAGGTTGAAATTCTGATAAGGGTGATTATATTTTCATACAAATTCTGTAACCAAATGCTCGCAAAACGAGACAGAGTGATAAGCTATAGTGGAGTATTTTCAGCACCCATTTGAGCGACTGTGAAAATTTCACTCTATATTGATTAGCGATATAATTTGCAAAGTAATAATTTGAAAAAATATATATTTTTTTTTGCTTAACTTATTATTAACAAGCGACTAATAGAGAGATAATAATTCTCCACAACATGTTATCTATTAAACCAATGAACTTCTATCATAATGAAAACAGGTCATGAAGAAAGGCCATTTATAATTTATGCGTTTGTCCATCCGTTACTTGTCGCCTTAATCCACTCCTTAGACTCGTTAAATATCAAATGGTGTGGAGTTCTCCTCCCACACCATCTGATGAAAAAAAATAAAGCTTTTTTCTGGAGTTTTTTTGAACTAAATATCACCTTATTTATGTCTCTACAATTCTTAGAAGCATTTTTAAAATGACTAAATTGGGTTAAGGTCATCTTATCATAATTTAGGTTTATTTTTTGGCATACAGTTAGGTTTAAAAAGTAAATATGTCTAAACGATACACATGTGCATTCTTACGGTTGAACGCGATGTGAGCGTCGTGAATGAAAAGATTCACGTTTGATCTTGATGCAACGTAATGCATGCAATTGAACTTTAACTTAGAAGCAACGATATCAGACGGTATTTATTGTTCCGACTTTCGATACGAAAGTAACGGAATATTTGTGCTCGGGGTGGGTTTTTTTCTTCAGACAAATTTCGGCTTTTTAACTAGCCATTTTTGACGGAATTTTTTATATCCTTCGAAAGGTATTGTTGTCTTGATCTCAATTTTGAAAAGATATTTCACCTGTGATCATTTTTCGTAAAGTTATGGGGGTTTAATGATTGCCATTTTGGCCAATTTGGGACAATTAACGCGCGATATATTTCGCGCTATTAACGCGTAAGCGGAGAGTTAATCCGTCTTATAAATCGTTCCAAATTGGTTGAAAGAAGCCTATCTACCATAATTGATTTGTTACAAGGAGCGAAATCTATATTTTTGTACTTTATATGGCGTGTGGGGGGATGATTTTCATTTAAAAAATTTCAAATTTTAGAAAAAAAAAATTTCATTTTGATTTATTACATTTAATTTTTTAATGTTATTACTGCTCCAAAAGCCTTAAAAGGCAGTCGGAACATTCAGGGCTTCGCCCTGATACGAGCAGTTTTGTTTAGATATATTTTACTACCCGATATAGGAAAAACATATTTTTGGCGAATATCAGCGAATTAGGGAAACAGCGGTGGTAAACGATAGATTTGTGATTTTTGTCAATTGAGAGCAATTATGCACACAAAGCGAGGACCAAATAAAACATTATTTACAAGAACATAATAATTAGAATTAATTTCACGCATACTAGTTCTGCCAAAATTAGCGTAATCACAATCTGGCGTAGTCTAACTGATACTCATATGAGCTCTCACTGTTGCACGGAACATGAGTGTCGTCAGTGTAGATAAAGACAATTGATGTTGATGCAGCAAGTTGAATGTCAATTAAAATTACAAAAAAAGACCAAAAATTGATCACTGATGAGCCCAAAGGTTATTGACAACCAATCGTATAAGACAATTATTCATGCACATTATGATACCTTGCTGATAAATATACAATGCACCAGTGTCAGCATTTTCCCATATTTTGTTATTCAATCAAGAAGATTTTGTGGTCGAGCGTATCAAAAGTTTTTTTTTTCAAGTCGTTAGATAAACTGCATTTTGTTTTTATAATCAAAACCGAGCTTCATACACTCCGAATGTAGCATATTTTTGGCAAATTTTGATTTGGTGGTCATAAATTATTTGAACTTTTTCTAGAGAACTGCATATGTACACGCGAATTCCCTTCTCTTTGATGCAACTTTAACTTAGAAGTAACGATATCGGACAAAAGATATTTAGATAGTTTTTGCTACACAATTTGAACAAGAGCAAAACATTGTCGAAATTCAGAGAGTTAGTGAAATTTCCGAGATAAACAAGAGCACTGTGATGTAGGTCAAATTATATAAACAGAATGAGTCAAATTGAAATTGCCTAAAAAATGACATTCGATGTTTTTTTCCTTTCAATGATTGTTCAAGGTAATAAGTATATAACTATTGTCTAGTTTTGTGCTTCAACTCCAAAAATTGATCGAAATATGTGATTTGAACATAGATTCATTTTGTTTTTGTACAAAGTTTTCCGACAATTAGAATAACCGAAGAAATTTGTGCTTTAAAGTTCAAAATAGCCAGTCGCTTTTGTTGTTGCGGCAATTACTTTTTGCACTTAAGATTCTGAACAACAAGCGTCAGAAAGGATATGCTGATAAGTTTTTCTGAATTTTGTATATTTGAGGTTCAAGCTGCGATGGCTTTTACAATATCGCAGTGACGAAAGAAAGCTATGATTGACTAATACTTTTTTTCAAATCGTTATTTTCTTTGTTTTTTGATTTAAACTACTTTCAGTCAAAAGGCGAGACAAAAACTTTTATTACTTAGAAATAACGTTTAAAACAGTTTTTCGAAAGCTCCAACATAGACCCGTATACTGCTAAATGTTCCACGTTCCCCATCATTAACATTTAGAAATTTCTGTGAAAATTTTTTTAAATAGTTTTTCTTCATTTTTCTATTTTTCCTGAAGATTTTGCGATGTCTGCACATTACTGAGTTTCTACCGCTCTTATACTAAATCCCTCGTAACTTTCATACGCAATTTTTTATGGAAATAAAAAACATTTTTGGAAAAAGATAAATTGACAAACGCCGCAGTTCTTTCAAAAATTATTTGGTTATCTTATAACTCAATTTATATTTGTGTGGTTAAACACCAGCTAAGCACACTTTTTTTCGACCTCAAAGATGGAACTGTGACTTTTGTAGTAATTTTTTGTTCGATTCCCCACAGAAGAGTCTGATGAAGCTTAGAAGTTTATTATACTGATTTTAATAAACATTCTTACGTTTTTTCGTCACTGGAGATATTGAAAAAGTCATTTCAGTTTGAACTTCAAAAGAAAAAAATCAACATCAATTATCACTGTATCCTTTCTATGAGCAATCTCTCAGGGCAGCTAACTTTGATATAACGTATCCTTACATTCGCTCCAAGATGTGGCAAAAAATATAACACAATATCTCCAAAATGGTCAGAGTATTATGTGCTAGCTATATGTACTAGAATTGACTACTCTTATTTTATGTTTTAAAGAGATTAAATATACGTCTATTGAACCATTTTTTGGGCGCGACTTTCAAAAAAAGTGATAGAATATGTGTGCGCGAGTTGGTTTTTTTCTTCTCCAGACTAGCTTCAATTTTTTACCAGATATTTTGACAAAGTTTTTGGAAATCATCTGAATAGTATTTTTTGCCCTGAAATCAAAACTAAAACTATATTTTATTTGCAATAATATTTTTTAAATTTATGGGGGTTTGAAGATTGCCAATTTGAGATTATTAACGCGCAAAATAATTCGTGCTATTAACGCTTATGCCGAGATTTAATCTGTCTGAAAAAAATGTTCCAAATTGGAATGAAGCATGCCATTTGGTCAATTTATTGCTTTGCTTTTTTGGGAATGTATCATTTTGTTTTTTACGTAGTGTGTGAGCAATGGTTTTTTAAAAATAGAAAGAAGAAGAAATTCAAAACGTTTTCTTTTCTTAAATTTCATCATGTTATTCAAATGCAAGCACTTCCCCCATAAATCTCAAAAGGCAGTCAAACATTCAGGGCTTTGCCCGGATAAGATTAGTTTTGCGTTTAGTTAACTGATAATGTTTTTACTGCGCCAAAAACATTAGAAAAAAAACTTGAAGAAAACTTGAAGAAAAAACTCCCTAAAGAAATTTTAAAAATTCAAATTTTTTTGAAGGCAAATGTTGCGTGCCGAACAATCAATTTTTAGCATCCAATGTTCTGCTGGTAATATTTTGTGCTGCTTGCACAGCAACGGGCTACGCCTGTTATAACTAATTACCGATTTTTTGGTTTCAGAAGATATTCTCGATGAATTGGATCTGCAGATGGTTCATGCAAAACCACACAGCATAGAGCAGCTAACAAGGAACACTCTTTTTGAGAGACACGAAATCAAAGACATCTACAGACGATTCAAACAGGTGTTATCCCTTTTCAATATGTAACTGTAAAAAAGAGAAAAGAGCCATTTGGTCAAATTAAAAGGATGGGTCAAATAAAGATGAGAAGCATGCCAATAATGACATGACAGTAGCAGTTTTTATATTTGAGAAAATGTTCAATCCGAATTTTTATAAAGGATCAAAAGTTTATGATGAACAAATTTTTCTACGTGTTGCAGGAGTGTCCAAATGGTTATCTTACAGAGGAGACATTCCGAAGAGTTTTCCAACAGTTTTTCCCCGTCGGAGGTCAGTTGCACAAATATAGTAATGCCAAGCTAAAATCCAGTCAATTTTGATTGTAGAGCCAAATTTGATGACATAATTATGGATTGATCATGATGTTATTCAATATTTTAGACACGAATCAATACGCCCATTTTGTATTCAACACATTCGAAAGAGATCCATACGGCAACGTTCTATTCCAGGTAAGCCAATTGTAATGAAGAATAGAATTTGATAAAATTTCTAACTGTGTTCGAAATCAAGAAAAAAAGAGAGTTTCTGCGAACTCGCACATAATGTTCTGAGCAGTAGCGGATTTAGGGGGGGCGTGGGCGAGCGGACGTCATCCCCCCTTCTCAGGGATTCGACCCCCTGCCGACCCAAAGGGTCCCTCCTTTGCACTGTTTGAGATATCCATTTTTGGCTGACTGACCTTAAAATTTTTCTGAAGGCACCTTTAGCGTGAGTCCACCTTTAGTTTAAGGGGGGTGCGCGCGCCGCAAAAACGCGATTTTTGGTCGAAAATTTCCAAAAAGCATAAAAACGCCTTTGTGGCATGTTTTTTCACAAATTTGCTTGCGGCGCAGTAAATTTTGCCAAATTAGGGTCTTTATGGTGATTTGGGAGAGCTCAGAAAATCAATTTGGTCAACCTAAAAAAAAGGTCTACAAAATTTCAATTTTCCTTTTGGAAATCCGACACCCCCCCCCCTTGAGAAATTCCTAGATCCGCGCCTGGTTCTGAACTTAAAATCACTTGCAAAATTGAAAAAATAGGGAAAAACATGTAAAAATGATGAAAAGTTCAATTTGTTTATTATTGCCATTGGTAGCAATAAATAAACAGTTTCAAATACGAGAAAAAATTCTAAAACTTTACAAAAAAGCCGTTATTCTGAAAAACAAAAAAGTTCTTTTTTTGGCGCAAGTCAATGTTTGTGAAATTTCTGTGGGAAACCGAATCCTGGCCAATAGGGTTTCAATATGATACTACACATGACCCCTCACGAGTTTTGCTTCAGGTGCCGAAAATTGGGCAAGAAGAACTATGTCATAGTTTTTCCAGTCACTTGGTTCGGTGACTGGTTGGAACAAAAAGGGGATCAATTGTACCAGGGGAAGATTTAGGGGGGTGGGGGGCGGACATTACCCCCCTTCAGGGATTCGACTCCCTGCCGACCCAAAGGGTCCCCCTTTGGTACTTTTTAAGAAATCCATTTTTGGCCCATTGACCCTAAAATTTTTCTAGAGGCGCCTTTGGCGCCAATATTTTTTAATTTTGAGGGGGAGCGCGCGCCGAAAAAACGCAATTTTTTTTATCAAAATTGTCCAAAAAGTGCCCAAAAACCTCTTTTTTGGACTGTTTTTTCAAATTTTTCCCTGCGGCGCACAAAATTTTGCCGAAAAAGGGACCAAACCATGATTAGGGAGAGCTCAAAAAAAAAGTCGACAAAATTTTTGAAATTTTTTTGAAAATCCGCCCCCCCCCCCCTCAAGAAAATCCTAGATCCGCCCCTGAATTGTACAATTATTCCCCCAAGTGACTTATCGTCGTAAACTTTTTCCGTCGGAGCATTTTTGGACAATTTGAATCATGTATTTATTTAAACATTGTCGCTGTATGAAAACTGCATTTTGAACAAAAAGCGTAAAAAGTTAAGTGGATTCACAAAACTGTATGTGATGGCATTTAAAAACTCGAAATCACTTATATTTCTCTGACTTTAAATCTGAAATTTTTTTTAGCCATTCATTGAGTTTTATCTTGATGAAATTAAGCTCACAATTTAAATTGGCCTTATTTTGCATGGGACTGCATTTGAACACTGAAGTTTACCACAACTATAACTTTTGTGCCAACTTAAAACAAAAAACATTAATTTTTCGGAACATTTTTTGCTCGGTGATCGAATCAGTAGTTTTTAACATTTTTTTTGCCCCAATAGAAATATCTGCCTCTTGAGTTCAAATCTGAAAAGAAGCATTTCGCATAAAAATTGTTGGTAAAATTCTTGGGCTTGAAAAATGCCAAATGTTTAACGTTCTGATTTGCGAATGGGCGCTTCGAGGATCTTATATAAGATACTGAAGGCGTAAGAAAATAAACTTTCCAAACTTTCATGTTATGAAATTTTTTCAACTGAAACTATTTGAGACCAGATACAGGACAATTACATTTGCATTAAGGGTTTTACCCTCATACATGACCTGTCTTGCTAATTTTTTATTCTGATTTTCTAATAAAGTGACAAAACGTTGTGCTCGTTTTTTTGCTAAGTTTCCGTCAAAAAATGCAATCTAGAAGTTAATGACTTATTAGATTCAAAAAATAATTGACCGGTTACTTATCGTAAAATTACTGGCTGGAACTTTGCCCATTTCGGCCGCTATTGAGACATCTAATACGCAATAATTTTCATGCTAATGAATCAGGCTCAAAAAGCATCAAAGTCAAAGTGAGGAAAGCTATAAGCTTTTTTCATATATATATTTTATCGAAAATTTTGACCTTTTTTTTAGGTCGACCAAATTGATTTTCCGAGCTTTCCTAAAGCACTAAAAAGACGCTGTTTCGGCCAATTTTTATCTGCGCCTCAATCAAATTTTGGGCACTTTTTGGAAAATTTTGACCAAAAAAATCGCGTTTTTTTTGGCGCGCGCTCCCCCTCAAAGTTAGTATATATTGGCGTCAAAGGCGCCATTAGAAAATTTTTAGGGTACATATGTATGTACGTATTTATCTCCACCTTCAAAACTGCTGTATCAGAACTGCAAAAAACCCAATAGATGAAAAAATGACAAAAAAACTGAAAGATTTTATATGCTCTAATTGAAATGTGATGTTTGTCAGGAGTTTCTGCAGACTATGTCAGTCATTCTCAAAGGATCGACAGAGGACAAACTCGAGTGGATTTTCAAAGTGAGTGTTTCCGAGCAATATTTTCCGAAAGTGCTCTGTTGGTCTATTAAGGGGGATGTTTACTTGATTCTGTTTTTCTTCCGATACTCTTCCCTCATCAGACACTTACCTCCTCCGCTCATTCACACTCACTCATCCCACCCCCTACCAAACACATCCTCCTCCCTCATTTATACGTCGAGAGGGAGTGTGAGGGTAGTGGAAGGAAGAAGGACAAGAAATTGGGAAAAGTAAGGGGAAGGCGTACTTACAACTTTCAATAAATTTGGAACATTTCCAGACTTCGAAAAAGAGCCCAAAAATTACGTCTTCGATTTTCAAAAAAACATCGAAAAAAGGGGGGTGCATACAAAGAAGAGCGTCAATTGGGGAAGGGGCGTAAAAGGGGGAATATGAATAAGGCGCAGCAAACAGGGTCGATGCATGAGTCGACCAGGGTCGATACATGATGCAAATCAAGTCAAGAGAGGCCAGCAGTCGACCGGTTGAAACATAATTCGACCAACTCGATAATGGTTAGCAATTGATCTGTGTGATTTTAGCTGTATGACATAGACCGAGATGAGGTGTTGAGCAGACAGGACCTGCGGCTAATGGTGGAGTCTGTCTACTACATGGTGGGCAAGGACTGCGAGGCAGAGGAGAGTGCAGTCTCCTTACACGTCGACAACATCATCAATGTACGCTCACACACACACACACACACACACACACACACACACACACACACAAACACACACAAACACACAAACACACCGAGACACACACGGACTTTTTGTATCAAAGCCGGCTCTACCCACTGCAGGGCCTCCTTTTAGAACATAAAGGGTTGATATGCCATACTATTCAAAACTGTTCCAGTAATGCCACAGAATACTGTATTATTACTGTACCATAGTGACACATTAGCTCTGCTCAGAAACAAAATCAAAGAAACGAATCTCAAAATGTCTCCAAAAACAATTCCGATATGTTTTTGGACTTCGACTGTAAAATCAGTATAAAAATGTAAGGCTAACTATTTAAGCGTTCAGAGGTATATCTACCCGAAATCGAAAGTTCTACCTGACAATGGCAATCAACCTCTATGTTATTTGTACGCTACTTCTGCTCACTAGCTATCCTTTTGTGTAAAATATGTCTCATATCTATGAGGCATGTATAACACTTTATCTCGGGGTATATTTGCGATGAAAAAAAAACACATTTTGAAGTTGAAAACTCCATTTCATCATCCAGAACTGAAAAAAAAAATAAATTTGCCACCTTTGTATTTATGAATATAGATAGCTCAGAGTTGTCTATATCTCATCTGCGTTATACTTATGCACAGAGGTGGATCTAGGGTTTTCTCGAGGGGGCGATTTTTCAAAATAGTGTTTCCAATTTTTTTTCTAGATTTGCGGATCTGGACTCAGGAGACGTATTGGTGTTCCCTCAAGTGATGTTTTTGTAAGAAAATTCTTTATTTGTAATTTTTTTTGTGTAATGACTTTACTTGGAAACAGTGTATTATAATGATTATTTTGATGATTATTATGATTATAAAAAAATTATTATGATTATTATGATTAATATTATAATTATTAAGATTATTATGACTATGATTATGATGATTATTATGATTATGACTATAATAATGATTATTATTATGATTATTATGATTATTATGATTATGACTATTATGACTATTATTATGATTTTAGTTATTAATGTGATTATCATTATGATTATTATGATTATGATTATGATTATAATGAAAAGTAATATGATTATTATGATGACTTTTATAATTATTTTGTTTATTTTGATTATTATGATTATTATTCTGATTGTTATTATTAATATTTTTACTTTTTGATTTTAGTTGTTTTGGCGCATTTGTTACTTTGGGAACCCATCATGGCAGAAATTGCGTAAGCCAATCGAAATCCCTTATTTAGGCATTCAAAACAAAAAAGCGTGAAATTCAGTCAGTCTCGTGATGACGTTGACTGAAAAAGAAATTGAGAAATCAACTCCCCGAGTATGATAATAGCGTCGTCTTGACATTAGAACAGTGCCCATTATCGTTATCATAATTTTTCTTGTCATGTAGTTTTCTGTTGAGTAAAGAGTTGTTTTAGTGGGGGTTTATTGCAAAGGCACCAAAAAACAAGACTGCTCGTATCAATGCGAAGTCCTGAATTTTGCAACTGCCATTCTTTTATCTATTAAGCACAGTTCGGCTTGAAAATATTAATCAAATTTTAAAACAAAAAAAAATATTTTTTCAATTTTTTCTTAAATTTTTTTTCAAAAATCATCCCCCCACACGCTATGCAAAGTAAAATTGAAATACTTTGCAGATAGCAAAGTATTAGTTAGACCAATTCGCATGCCTTATTTCAAATTGAAACGATTTCTAATGTTGATTAAATCTGCTCTTACGCGTTTACAAAACGATATTAATCTCGCATTGATTATCAAAAATGCCCATTTTTGCAATCTTAAAACCCCCGTAAGTTTACAAAAATTGATCACTCCTAAGATATTTTATCCAAACTGAACTTAGGGCAACATTATTTTCCGATCGATAAAACAAAAGTCGAAAATGGCTAGTTAACAAGTCGAAATTGTCCAGAGAAAAAAATCACCGCGAGCACAAATATTCCGTCACTTCCATCGATATTTGGAATGAAAATGCTCACAGAAAATGTTAAAAGATTGCAGTTTTGATTAAATTCAGTTTTTCAAAGAGTGAAGTTTAGGATTTTTGCTGAATTACTGATGCGAACTTAAATTAAATATAACAAAAACTTACAAGAAAAAAAAGCCCAGCTAAATATAAAACTTTTTTTGGGCACTTTTGAATCATTTACGTTTTCGAGTTTTCAGTCCTTCATTCTGTTAGGAATAATTTGTCAAATTTTATGAATAATTTGTTTTGGTCTGGTGTTTGTTCGCTGCGAAACCAGAAAATACAATTTACGAAAATAGCATGTAGACTTGATAAAAACTATTGTGTTCAGATTACCTTGAAAGTATAGGCTAATGAAATATGAAAATCTACCTGGTCTATCTACAAGTATCTAAAAGTATAGCCTAGCAAAGTCGGATGCGGGGTGTAAAACGCCCTTTTGTGAACTGTAAAGATAGTATGTCACAGACACGACCAAATCGTCATCAAACAGAGTCCAAATCGACACCATAAATTCAGAAGTATTTGTTTGCAAGTAGCGCAGAAAATTTGCTTCTGCCACAGACTTCTGTTAATTTTTTTTTAAATTGCTTTCAATGTCAAATTTACCTAAGAAATTTTATTTTTCTAAAATTAGTTTCATATTATCGTTTTTTTTTTAGCACGAGGCATCAAGAAGTCATAATGAAGTAGATAACCTACTAAGAAATTTAGATTTTTTTTATATTAAATTTCGTTGACAATGTGATCAATGCTGATTGAAAAAATTCTACCCTCAGCGTTGGATATACTGGATATACAAAAACCCGAACTGAAATATATCGGAAATTATTGGGCCAATTCTACTGATTTTTTTTGGATCTATTTAACAATCTCCCCCTATGGTCTCTACTTAACAACCTCCCCACTATGACTAACTAGAGTAAATTAGCACCGAGCTTTCTATTGTGAATTCTAATTTTGCTGCATTCTGATTGGTAGAAAATTCGTCTGTTTTAATCTACTTTACAATCCCCATTTCTTAGATCCGGATTTTTTGCACACAAACCTTGCACAACAATTTAGACATTATGTGGCAACCAATGAAGCTCCACCTACAACGAAAAAGGTCACCGTGGTTTTCCACTTTGAAAACCCTTTCACGAGATTTTTTCGTTTTTCCAAACTAAGTTAAAGAAAGTCGGTAAAGGTAATTTGATTGTAATTCGTTTTTGCTAGACAATGTAGATTGAAAAATAAATTGAATGATATTTTTTTATTAAGCTTTTTCCTATAAATTAATTTTTTATTGCGGTTTGAACGACCGACGGAAATAACCTCAATATGATGTATTGTTTGACTTAGTATCTTTCGGTTTTTTTTTGGTTAAGTGCATAAAAAAATCAATTCATATTCCAAAACTAGTTTGGGTCTTTTCGGTTATACCCCCCCCCCCCATAAATCAGAAAAAGTGGAATGAAATTTTTTATTATATCATTGCGACATTTGCTAGGATAGGAAAGGCACTATATTATTATGGGACTGGTGAAAACGAACTACTTTTACTTAATTTTCGCCAATTATTGCCAGTTTTCTGTGCATAAGCTTCATTAAAAGGATGCTAAAGGCGTTTTTAGTTTCTAGCTTGATTTAACGCTCGCGATATCAGCCCTGCATTTTTAAGGAAAATCAGTCAAACTTTTTAAGTAAGTTTTAATTTTTATTTTTTTATCATTTAGGGGGGGGGGGGGTATAACCGAAAAGACCCACTGGTTTTTCAAATAATCACAGGAGAAGATTGCTATTGAAATTAAAGAAAACCAAAACCATGTGTATAAATGTTCAAACTTAGAACACTAGCTTTTTGTGTCACTTTTCCGTAATATCTCACCTTTGATTTTACATATCTGATTCATGCATCTAATTCTTGCAGTGCGCTTTTTTACAGACAAAGTTTTGGTTTAGAAAGTTGTGGGGCAAAAACCACAGAACAAATGTAAGAGTCTTTTTAGAGTATCTGCGGTTATTTCAAAGCGTAAATCAGCGAAATCTGATGTGGGGTACAAAACAGAAACGTTGTAAGCATTTAAGATGAAACTGAAAATCAGAGTCAGAATCTATACCGTGGGATGTACTAAACAATTCCCTCGCTGTGGTATCTACTAAAGAATGATACTAAGAATCCACTCCGAAAAACAAAATCAGTAAATTAGCACTACAAATTTTGCTGAGTTCTGATCGGCCAACAAGTGCAACAGCGTAATCTACTTCACAATTACACCCCTTTTCTTGAAAGATGGTAGCTGTTATGATGATCCTCGTTTTTTTGCTGCAAAAAGAATGAATTGTATAGTGCCAAAACTGATGTACAAACAATCACAGGAGAAGCCTTTTGGTAAGTTAACTCTTTGGTAATTTTAATTGTGTTTTGTTTAGAAATATTCTGCCAACCGACAGACAAATGAAATCACTTTCGACGAATTCAAAGAAGCGTGTGGAAGGGTGAGCATAACAAACGGGGGCGTAGCGATTAGCATGTGTGCCTAATCACATGCGGTATTTACTTTAATTGGGTGTATTCTGACGAAAACAAATTAGTCCAATAACTTAAATAATTTCAAAAACTACTTAATTTATTAGAGAAATAAAAATTATAGTTTTGCGCGATTGAAAAATTGGCAAAATGCGCGCTGATAACAATTGAAAATTTGTCTGAACAAAACTTGAAATTGCGAGTCTTTAAACTACATTTTGTTACATGGGCATGCTAATCAACACACATGCTAATCTGCCGGTCCCCATACTAAACGGGTAACGTTTTAACGTTTTATGAGCAAAAGCTCGAATGGGCCAAAACTTGGCTAGCCCATCAGAATTTTAAATCATACTTTCAATGCAAGTAAGCGATAAAGATGGTCATAGGCATTAAATTGATTGATTGCGATTTTTTGCGTATTCGTTCCTTCACGCATGATGATACCCCATATAAAACCACTTGGTATTTTTTAAACTGCAATTTTTAAATTATAAGACTCCTCTGGTGAATATACGTGAACTCGACTGTTCAAGTACAAAAAATAGAAAAAAAGTCAAAGATCTCATCATTTTCTCGGGATTTTGTTAATTACCCGAAACTCACATAGTGCCTAATGAAAAAATGCCCAGGTTTTTCTGTTATACGGCCCAAATTTACACTTTTTTAACCAATCAATTTCCAGCATTATGATCCAATTTTTTTAACCAATCAATTTCCAGCATTATGATTCAATTTTTTTAACCAATCAATTTCCAGCATTATGATCCAATTTTGATTAACATCAAAAATACCAGTTTTGGACCGGGTAATAGAAAATACCCGAAATCCCACCAATCTGTTAAGCAAGAATTAATTAAACGCTCAATTAAATCCTTTTTTACGCAATCCACCTAGCTGCAATGGGATGCGCTGAAAGTGTCGAAGAATTCGTTTTTTTTTGTTTCAGAATCCCGAAGTGTTCAATTCAATCGACTGTTTTGGAAGTGGAATCTTCGGAGTTTAATTATCTCGACAGCTATTGAGAAAACAGTAAAATACAATTAAAAAAAATACAATTTCCTATAGTTGATAATTACGAGTGTAGAACCTTTTCTGATCTTATAGAACGTTATTAGGTTGCGTAGAATTATACTTGGATGTACTAATTGAGTTTAGCTGAGATAAAAATCAAAATGAGAAACAAGGTTGATCGTATCAGCGCAACCTCAGGAATGCTCTGACTGCCATTTAACGTTCCTGGAGTAGTGTTCGACTATTAAACAAATGAGCGAAACTTAAAATATGCGCCAACAAAAAAGAAACTGCCCGTATCAGGGCGAAGCCCTGATTGTTCCGACTGCCTTTTACGGTCAATGGACCAGTGAAAACATGAAAAAAATGTGCCGAGAAAAAAATGAGCAGATCAGTGCCAAGCAGTCTATTTTTTCCATATTTCATTTTTCATTTCAATGACTCAGGTCGGAACATGCTGCGCAGTTTGCAAAGCTACTGGCTGGCGCAATTTGGCCTGATAATTTATTTTAAACGGTGCTCGATATAAAAAGAAACATCGGCGGGTTTAGAAGGTGGCGGGGCGCCCTTTTCCCTCAGGGATTCGACCCCTGCATACCCAATGGGTCCCCTTTTACTATTTTGAGATACCCATTTTTGACCTAAAAATTTTCTAAAAGCGCCTTGGGCGCAAAATTATAGTATTTTTAAGGGGCAGCGCGCGCCGAAAAACGCGATTTTTTGCAAAAAAAAATCAAAAAAGTGTCTGAAAAAAAACTATTTTCAGCTTTGGGAGAGCTCACAAAATCATTTTTTTCGACCTAAAAAATAAGTCGACAAACTTTTCGAAATTTTGAAAATCCTCCCCCTCGAGAAAACTCCGCTCCTGTATCCTTTACTATTATTCCAAATTGGGAAATTTGTATTTTTCGCAGCATCATAAATTTGCGAAAAAAGATCACAAGTGAAGTTTTATTTTGATGTTGAGCTCAGGACATCAAAAGTTTTTATTTGATTTTAAAAAATTCCGTGAAAATGAATAGTAACAAGTATGAAAATTTTCTGCAGAAAAACCAGCCGAGCACAAATAATCCGTTAGTTTCTTCGATAGTAGGTACAAAAAGTCAAGCACTCCGCAACGACGTAATTTACTTTTTTTGTCTTTTTCTCATTTCTAGTCAAACTATTTTTGGTGATGACAAAGGTGGCTTACACCAATTTTTTAAAAGCATGCTGAAAATGTTGAATCTAGCGCACAACAGATTTCTCAATTGGGTGAGAAAAAAATTTCGCAATATTTTTTTAAAATTTAACTTTGTGTTCAGCCGACATTCAATCAATTAATAATTTTAATTTGAACAAAATGATTCAAAACTTAAGTTAGGTAAATAACCGCTTATACATATGCATTCCGGCTAAAGAAAACTTGAACGCCATTACAAAGCTGATTTAAAAAATCCAACAAATCTAGTCAATCAAAATCGAAATTTAAACAACGCGTTTTTCTCAAATTTGGTTGACTGCAGATGAAAATGATGTGAATAAAACTTGCATAGAGTTTTAACAAAACTATTATGGCTCAAGATGATTTGAAAATTTCAGGCCTAAACTTTTACTTCGAAACCTATCATTGTTTTAGCCCAATGGAAACTATGCTAGAAGGACTGATTTTTTTTTGAGCTCGGCAAAGTTTATGGAGAGTATAATCTCAAAACTTTTGAGAAAAACGTTTCAAAGATTTTCTATTGAGCAAAAACGAACTTTTTTGGCTATCAAATTAAAATAAATTTGCCAGCAAAGTCTTTTAAAGTTAACATAAAATCTCATGTAATTTAATGCAAAATCGAACAGTGTAAATTTTACAAAAAAAGATTGTATTGAAATCGCGCTTTCCGGCTCTGCATGCACGCTATGATTATAATGCAAATTTAATTGCACTCAGAATCATCGCAAGCTCGTTTATTCAATTTTTTGCTGGCAGACGCAAATTTTATTGTTAGGACTGTGTATAGCATGGGGAGGAACTTTGTCTTCTGGTATGCTTGAGTTGTTTTTTCTGTTTTTTTTTTTTGGTTTTAACTCCAGTTAAGTTTCAGAAATTCCTGATCGTCATTTGGTGATATAATACAGTTGGTGGTAATTTTGAGTATAAGGCGTGTACTAAATTTGAGAACTCTGATATAATATATAAGGTTATCGCAGAAGATTGCTATCACTGAAATTCAAATAAAAAATAAAAAAATAAAAACTTAATTGATTTTTTCAGTTCAAAAAAAGATTCCAGGAGGTTTGTATCACAAAAAAGTTAAAATTATCCATATCGTTGATTCGCAAAATTGTTTATTACTTGTGTTGAGTGCTAACCCTGCGAAACTATATGCTAAAAGATTGGTTGGCAGTTTTTCCTCAGCTGTTTTTTTTTGCAAAAAAAAACAACTTGCATGGAAGCATTTATCAAAAAATGCTTTCTGAGTTGCAAACACTTTGTCTCAATTGACAAAAAATTTTACTGTTTCGTTGGATTTTTTTGTTAATTTTTTCTGCAAAATTAGTTCTGCGATCAGCTAACTGGGATTTTCAGACACTCCTAATCGTCGTTTGGTGATATATTACAATCAGTGGTAGTTTTGAGTTTAGTGCTTCTATTAAATTTGAAAACTATTGCCATATAGTCATTTAATTTTCAATCAATGGTACATGCTGCTAAGATAATTTTTGTAAATTCATTACTCTGCCAGGAAAATTGTTTGTCAAAAATTCAAAGTTTACCTTTCTTTTGCCAAAAATTTTGGCTTCTGAAATAAATTATAAATACTGTTCGAAGTAAAACAAAAAGCTATGCAGCTATTTAACTTGAATCTAACCCCTATTGTAATATATCACCAGTCATTTCTCTGACCGTCATTTCATACATTCACACTATCATTTACACGTCACTATATTCACACAATCATTTACACGTCATTTCAATCATTCGATCAATCAAAAACATTTTTTACTTATGATAACCATTTTTATGCATTTCTTTGAAGAAAAAAATGATCAAACGCAGGATTTTAAAATTAGCTGAAAAGGGCATACAGCGGCGCAAAAACCGTCTCAAAAAAGTTTGGGTCTTACAGGGAAACTAAAAATCGAAAAACAAATTCTATCTATCATTGCGTTATTCGAGTTAACATTGGGAGGGCCACTATCCAAGCTTATAAATTTCTTCACCTGGCTTTCAAGTTTCTTGAAAATTAGGAATACGACCACAAAGTTTGCAGACCTGAAATACATTGCAGACAAGGCAGCCGTTTCAAAAAATGTACGTTACTTCCTGTGATACAAAAAAAAATACCTTAAAACAGTTGTATCACAAACTTGCTGAAGTTGAGTCATTTCTGCAACCTTTAATTGTTTGAAAATTTTCGAGCCCTGATGTCTTTTTTGAGATTTATTTAAGAACAAACATTTATACTCCTAAAAACCACTTACAACAGGTACATTAAGAGATCGATTTTGGGTAGATCGGGGGCATACGTTTTTCCCTTCCCGGATTCGACCCTCTCACCAATCGAAGGGTACCCGTTTGGAATTATTTTATGACATCCAGTTTAGACCGACCAACCCTAAAATTTTGCAAAGGCGGCAAAATATACTAATTTTGAAGAGGCACGCGCGAAAAAAAACGCCAACATTTAACAAAATTTTCCAGAAAAGGCCCTAAAATGACATTTTTGAACTGTTTGGTCAAAAATTTGCCTGCGGCACACAATTTTTTTGGTCTTAATCTGGTCGGATCTGTATTCTGTTCTGGGAGCGCTCAGAAAATCAATATGGTTTACGTAAAAATGTGTCCAAAACAATTTCGATGCAGGTTTGCTCTAACAAAATAACATGAATTTACAACTTATTTTTCCTATCCTCATCAAGACAAAAGCTTGAATGAAGTTGCATTTTTCATCATTTTGAAATTTATTACGTTGATTTAACATCCAGTCAACTTGGTCAAATTTAATGCTAAACTTGGTCAACAATGCTAACTTGGTCAAATTTAATAAGTGAGTTCGTTCAAAATGCATATTTTATACAAAAATGTAAGGGAGATGTTCTACGGTACGTCACTTGTACCGTAGAATAGGAGGTGGGGGCTGGGGGATGGGTTAAAACTATCATATGCTTCACCGTTGGTTTAATTATTTACAAGGGGATATTCGTCACTGTATAATGATTTAGTTTTGCCGGTATTTGATTCTCTTGCGGATTTTATGCTAGTCGATGCTTGGATTTTTATGCTAGTCAATACATATTTCAATTTTTAACCTTTTATGCTAGTCGAACTTTATGCTAGTCGATACACCGCCTCCAAAATTGCTCCAGTTGAATATTTAATAAATTGTTTAATAAATTTTTTGTCAAAAAATTGCCGATAAAATCATACAAATTTCTTTGAAAAAAAAACCACAATGTGCACAAACTCTCCGTCATTTTTAAAATTCGTGATGCTTTTTATTGACCAAATGCAGCGTCATAAATTTTGTTAATTTAAGTTTTTTTTGTGTGTTACAGGAGCACTTTAAATTTATTTGGACACAATTGGTCTTGATTCTGTTACAAATTTTAAGAGAAGTGACGGAGAATTTGTGCACATTGTGGTTTTTTTTTCAAAGAAATTTGTATTATTTTATGGACATAAAAAAAAAAAAATTTCTTTGAAAAAAAACACAATGTGCACAAATTCTCCCTCACTTCTTTTGAAATTCGTAACAGAATCAAGACCAATTGTGTCCAAATATTTTTAAAGTGCTCCTGTAACACAAAAAAAAACTTAAATTAACAAAGTTTATGACGATGCATTTGGTCAATAAAAAGCATCAAAAACTTCATTTGAAAGCAGTTTTTGATACGTTTTGACCAAGTGTATTGAGTATCTAGCGTATATCTGACAGAGTAACTTTAGACTGGCGCTCCATTACAGTAAAATTGAGATGTAAGTAAGGCCGAAAACGGATCATATGTTGTTGAATAAAAAGCATAATAAGGAATGTGAATTTCAAACTGTAATTACTCAATCAATCGTAGCACCACTCATAGATACTCTTTTCTGTTATTATTGTTAGTAAACGAATAATTATTCTCATCAT